GAAACGTCAGCCTCTCTGCTCCTATGATGCTGCTTGGCCTGCTGTGTTCATCCAGCCCTGCACCTTGATCCGGTCTGTTAAGTTGGATTGTCTCATTTCCAGTTCTGTTCTGCATGGGTTTGTATATAGGGTCTAATTCCACATGTTTCTTATTGCATTACAGGTTGAAAACCAGGCCTCTAGGAATTCCCATGTGTGTCTGTGGTTGGCTTGAGTCAAGATGGTCAGGTTGTCCCAGTTAAGTTGATGGTCACTGGGACAATCTGACCATCCTAGCTCAAGATGGGATTCTGAAAAGTAGACTGGCATTCTGCTCCTGATTGTCACTCAGTGGCAATTACTAATTGTTAATCTGGTACGAAACGGCCTGACTTTTGGTTCAATATTGGTTTGTGTACTGTGGCTCAGAGATGGAAATTTGAATATCTGGTTCAGCTACAGAATGCATTTAGTTTTGAGTTGAGGATTTGGAGAACAGAACTAAAGAATATGTTACTATAGCACCAAATTGTTTGGATCCATTTGCCAAGTTATTTATGTTTGTCTGTTTCTCTTCTTGCACTTCAGCAAACAGCTAACATCATAGAGGAAGCGGTTTACTCATGGAGGAGATTGAGCAGTGGTTTAATCACTTGCGCATTGCCAAACGATCCACACAGAAAACTGAGGACTTAACCTACCTTCTGGACATTGACTGCCTACAGTCCACAGGACAAAGCAATCAACTAATTGCAGTTTCATGTTCTAATCGCTGTATCCGTGTGTACAATAAACAGACGCTGACTCTAGTTCAACAGTTCCAGGGCCACTCTGCTCCTATTAGTGGCATTAGGTTTGCACAAACCACTGGCCATTTGTTATTCTCTGCATCATGTGACGGGACAGTGAAATGTTGGGATGTGCGTTCCTCTAGCACAGACCCTGTTCAGAATTATACAGGCTATCCTAATAACACGTTTATAAGCTTTGATATTAGCTGTAATGATTTGGTTATCTGTGCTGGAACAGAAAAGGTTGAAGAAGATACTTTCATGGTTTTCTGGGATGCACGCAGTGTGACAAACACGGATAGTCGTGGAAGCCAGGAACCTCTTGGAGTTTATTCAGAGACTCACAACAACGACATCACTCAAGTGTGTTTCCACCCCTCAAATCCCAACATGGTGGCGTCAGGGTCGACTGATGGATTGGTCAACATTTTTGACATCAGCCAAGAAACAGAAGATGATGCACTTCTTGCAACTTGCAATTCTGATTCCTCAGTCAGCTTTGTTGGGTGGTCTGGTAAAGACCTGGAACAGATTTTTTGCATGACTTACGATGAAGGTTTCTATCTGTGGGATCTTGCCCATCTGCATAATGATGAGCCCATTACACTGGTGAAAATGCAGGATGCCCGAGAAAGCTTGAAACTTGACAATGGCCACCTGGACTACCTGATTGGAGGCTTTTACCATGAAAAGGTTGAAAAGTTGTTTGTACTAGGTGGGACCACTATGGGGAAGCTTCATTTTTTAACATGTGATGCTGGCAGCCTTACCCACCTGCACACCCTACATGACAGACACTCGGCTATAGTTCGTGCTTTTTATTGGGATTCTGAGGAGAATTCTCTGTTGACGTGCGGGGAAGATGCTCAGCTATTTTTATGGAGTCCAAATGCCACAGAATCAACCACAGAAAAGAAGACGTCAATGAAGCTTCCATCAGATGTGCATAGAAAAATGAGAGTTCATAGCAAAAATGCTTACCAAGGCAAGAAATAAGATAAATAGACAACTCGTCACACTTGTATACAGCTGAGTTTCATTGAGAATAATTTCCGTTTTGCTGAGAGGAAAAGAAATTTTCCTGTCTGTCAGGAATTCAGTCATTCAACAGTGACTAATTGACTCCAGATCTGTGTTCCTTCTAAACAGTGAGGCTTTAATTGGGGAAACCTAGAAAGTGCAACGCAATAGCTTTCTAAAAGATGGAGCTGGAGATATCTGCTCAGAACTGGGATTTTATTTAAGTGTCTGTAGTTTTATTTTGATAGTAATGGTTTCATTAATTTTTCTTTAAGTCAGAAAGTTGGTTCCTATAAAAAGAAAGAAGCATTTCAGCAAATATGTTCTGTTGGGATTATTTTATTAAGTTACATATAAATTAAAGAGATAATGCAACATTTAATGTGATTTTTTTGGTCGAAGAAAACATTGGTTTAGTTTCTTTGTAAATTGGACTATATGTTTGCATTGGACTTTGTCATCCTGCTGTGGTTTTTGTGTTCAAAATTCTCTTGTTATGCAGACTTAATAAAAATTGTGCACGTCTGCTATATTATAGGGCAGGCTCTATAAACTGTGATTTTTAACTTCACTTTTTAAATATTACACAGTCATCATGTTGCTGATGAAAATTGTTCTGTGTTGGAAGAGGCAAGGTGCACTGCTGATAACTTTGAGGAGTAACCGGGGTCATTTTGACTTTGGCTGACTGCACAATCAGTACAGCCATACTTATGCTTAGTTTTGTTTTATCTCTATTGTCTAAACTACAAATAGTAGGACAATCCATTTCCATTGTTACTGTATTGTTAGATGCCAAGGCTAGTCAATACAACCTTGAAGAGATTCAGTGCCCAGAATTCAATTTCGGGCTTCTGATTTCATCTGTCCATGGCTTCGTAATGCTGAGGCTTAACTTCCTCACGTGGAATTCTAACTCCTTTGACATAAAATACTCTACTTGGATATTTTTTACTTGTGCATTAGCTTCAGTACTTGATAGAGGAGGAATAAGATCTATGTGGTACCTAGTCTCTTGCCATTTAGAAAATATTCCAAATTGCCTTTCTTAGATCCAAATTGAATCACTTTACTCTTCCCCAGTATTGAACTTCATTTACCACTCACTTATAGTCCATCAATGCCCTTAGTAACTTCTTGGTCTCATCACCAGAACTTACTGTTAAACTGCCATTATTACAGACAGAGACCACACCATTTCAAGAGCTGGCATAGAAAGATTTGAAGAACAATGCACTCTTATAAATACTTGGTGTGCAGTATAGTTTTTTTTTATGTTTGTCTTTGTAAATCATTGAATTTTCTCTAGGCTTAGCTTGGACAAAAGAGCTAATAATTGAGACTTTTAGTCAAATTGTATCCCTAATAAAATGTGAACTTAAAATAAAATAAAATGTATATACAGACACTAAAAATGATGACTACCTGAGTATTATAATTCCAAACTGGTTTGTTAACATCTTCAGAGGCAATAACATTCCATCCTATGTCATCTGGCCTATTTAGAACTTTTGTTCCATACTACATGGTTCACTTGATAGCCTAGACATACTTAAGAACTTACAATAAGTACTGTTTGACTTGTGTTACCCATATCTTTGGCAGAATAGTGTTGCCATATTCTGATTTAAGAACTGACAGATTATAGAATATAAAATCCAGGAGGAAAGATCATTGTTAATGATTGGGGAGGCAGTGGCACAGTGGAAATGCCACTTGACTAGTAAGCCAGAGACCTAGACTAATGTTCTAATCATTTTTGTAAGATCTCATCCAGTTCATTAACACCCTTTGGGGAAAGAAACCTGCCATCTTTACCTGGTCTGGTCTACATGTGACTCCAGACCTACAGCAATATGCTTGTCTCTTAATTGGCTGTCTGGGCCATTTCAGAAGACAGTCAGTTCAAGAGAAATTATGCATGGGCAACACATTCTGGCCATGCTAGCGATGCTCATACCAAACACAAGAATACATTTTTAAAATCATTACAATTAGAATTGAATTATACTGGTCAGTACAATAGAAAGTAAATATTGCAGGTTTCAGCTTATAAGGGCCACATTCTGCTTACTAAAACTTGCATTAGCAAGAAGTGTTACAAAACCTGAATTAATTGCCAAAACAGTTGTGTTTCAGCCTAAAGCCTAAAACAAATCCAGGAGAGATTCTGGTGAGTGTTAATATTAATCCAATCTCTGAAAGCTACACAGGAAAAATGACAAAGCAGACCTCTGGTTTCGGAGGATTGAGTGATGAGGAAATGTAACAGAAATGAAGTCTCTGGCTTTGAAAACATCTGAACGACAAATTTTATAGAGGGCTATAATTTGAGGCTCCAAAATATGCATCCAAATTGCTTAGTGATTTTTCTTATTCCCTTGGGCATTTTCCTTTTTTTCCCTTTTGTACGTGTGGGGTACAAAATAAGTTGGCGGCTACTTCTAACAGGTCCCCATTCCTCGTCCCTGGAACATCTGGACAACAGCCTATGTCAGACTCATGTTCGTGGACTACAGCTCCGCTTTCAACACCATTATCCCCTCCAGACTGATCACAAAACTGATCTCAGCTCTGCCCTCTGCAACTGGATCCTCAGCTTTCTGACCCATAGGCCACAATCAGTGAGGATAGATAACTGCACCCCCTCCACAATACCACTCAACACTGGAGCCCCCATGGATGTGTCCTCAGCCTCCTACTGTACTCCCTGTCATCTACGATTGTGATGCCAAATTCTGAACGAACGCCATCTACAAGTTTGCTGAACACACCACCGTAATACAGAAGGAAGATAGAGAGCTTGGTGATGTGGTGCAATGAAAATAATCTGTCTCTCAATGTTGGCAAAACTTAACTGATCATTGACGTCAGAAAGAAAGGAGGAGAACACGCACCCATCTACATCAATGGAACTGAGGTTGATAGAAGTGAAGAGCATCAAGTTCCTCGGAGTGACAATAACCGACGACCTGTCCTGGACTTCCCATGTAGATGCGACAGTTAAGAAGGCACAACAACACTTCTCCTTCCTCAGGCTGCTCAGGAAATTTGGCATGTCCATAAGGACCCTCGGCAACTTCTACAGATGCACTGTTGAAAACATACAGTCCGGGTGCATAACGGCCTGGTATGGCAACTGCTCTGCCCAGGACCATAAGAAACTGCAGAAGGTGGTGTGCATAGCCCAGACCGTCATGGGAGCCAACCTTCCATCCATTGACTCTATTAACACGGCTCGCTGTCGTGATAAGGCGGCCAACATCATCAAAGACCCCTCGCACCCTGGTAATGATCTCCTACAACCTCTTCCGTCAGGCAGAAGATACAGAAGCCTTAACACACTCAGCAGCAGGTTCAGGAACAGTTCCTTCCTGGCTGTTATCAGACTGCTGAATGGACTCTAGCCTCAAATAATGTAACCTGCAATGTAACCCATATGCCTCTAAGTCTTTTTGATCTGTATATCCTTTGCTTGCTGTGATTGCCTGTTCCGCTCGTAAACAAAGCTTTTCACTGTACTTTGGTACACCTGACAATAAAATCAATCAATCATTCAAATGCTGGATAGTGGGACAGATGCTTCTTGCATCGTCCTATTGAATCCAAGCAGGATGTTACCATCCACCAGTTCTACCTCCATTACCCTGCAAAAAATGCATAAAATTCTAACATAACTGCAGGGACTGGATGCAGGGATAATGTTTCCCCTGGCCAGGGGTGTCCCAGAACAAGGGGGCACAGCCTTAGGATATGTAGTGCTGGTATTTCTCCTATAACATGATTGTTGCATTCTTGTGTGACCTCACGCTATAGAAAATCATATTATAGGGAAATTGCTATAGAAAATCACCATACTGTACAGTAAAAAGTTTCTTATTCAGTGTCCACAATTCATCAATTGCGCTACAGCCAATTTGCATTAACAAAACATGCGTTATAGCAGAAAAACTGTAGGTCATTTTGAGAAGAGATTTCTTCACTTCCAGAGTGGTGAATCTGTGGAATTTACCACCACAGCAGACTGTGGAGGTGAAGTCAATTACAGTAATATGTTTAAGAAAGGAATAGATTTCTAGAAGCTAGAAGTGCTTAGAGGTATGGGGAGAGTTGGGCAGTATGCGTTGGAAGAGAGGATCAGTCATGTTGAATAGCCTACTCCAATTCCTATTTTCCATGTTTTTTTTTTGCATTGTGCTTGAGTTTGCTATTGGTATCATATCAAAGCTCTGGAATGTGTTAGTGTGATACGAGGCCCATCATGCAAACATGATAGCAGGACAGAACTACAAACAATGAGGTCCTCCATTGTCCTGGGACCAAGAGTATGGAGATTACACTACAGAACATTCAACTTAGATTGGCAGGCCATATCTTTCATATGGATGACTACAGAATTCCAACCAGATGATCTATGGGTTACTGTCTCAGGGTAAACAACATCAAGGTTGTTAGTACAAAGGCTGGGACCTTGAATCCAGCCTTTCTGGCCCAGAGAGAGGGACAGTACGAGTTCACCACTAGAGCCCAACCTACCTAGTTTACAAGAAATGCAAAATTGCTTTCAAATGTGCATTGTCAAAAATTTGGGATTTTGATACGGGGCCACTATCTATGAATTAGTGGCATTTTGTCTTGTGTTTTGTTACATTGAAACTTCCCATCATGGCTTGGATTTTGCCATATTGACATGATAGTGAAAAATTTCTCAACTTAATTGGTA